CTTAACGGTCAGCCACCGCAGAGTCTACTACACCTGAAGACGTCTCGTGTAGAGTACTAGGGCACACTGAAATGACCGGGAATAGAATATTTCGGATTGAGTTACAATAAAACCTTTTTTAGAATTTGAATACTGGCTTCTTAGAATCTTAATGACATTCAAACAATTAAAAAAATCTTTAAAAACAAAAACTATGTTGGTTTAAAGTTGACACGTCGTTAACAGAAATGGAGCTCATGCATGAACATTTCCGTGCCCTAATTTATCACAATTTTCGTCGCGGCTAATCTGAAGATAAATGTCTCAGCGAACTTGTTTCGATTTATGATGTTGAAACACCGAGTCAAACGACAATATACGCTGGTATGCCGATTTCCGACGCGGCCGTGTGTCGCTCAGCACTGTTTCTTCTGCAGGTCGACCAAGAACAGCGGTCACGCCTGAAAACATCGCAGCTGTGCGAACTATTATATTAGATGACCGTCATGTGACATACGAGCAGATTTAGGGTGTTATCAGTATCGGAATGACTGCAATTCAGTCGATTTTACATAATGAGCTGTGTGTAAGAAATCTAATTTCCCGCTGGGTTCTCCACAATTTGTCCGAAGACCAAAAGGCGGCGCGTGTAGATTGGTTCCGGAATACTCTGCAACGCTTCAACGGAGGGAAGTCAAATGCCGTTTATAATACCGTCTAAGGTGACGCCAAGATTCGTCGACGAATGACGAATCTTGGATTTATTCATACGAACCTGAAAGAAAGCATCAATCAGCAGTTTAGGTCTTCGAAGACGAGGTCAAACCAACGAAAGTGGTTCACTCCCGCAGCGTGTCAAAGAAAATGGTCGCTACGTTTGTCTCGAAAAAGGGGCATGTCGCTACAATTCCTTTACAGGAAAGCAGAACGGTTACCGCTGAGTGGTATATCACGGTTAGTTTCCCAGAAATGATAGCCTAACTCCGAAAATCGCCGCATCATCTTACATCACGATAATGCGAGCTCCCATACGGCTCGGAAGACAATTGATTTTTTGGAGCAGGAAAACGTGGAGCTGATGAACGATCCTCCGCACAGTCCGGAATGAGCCCAAAAGATTTCTTTACATTCCCTAGAATGAAAGATTTATTACGCGGTCAACGGTTCGAAGACCCCGAAGCAGCTGTGGAAGCGTACAAATCAGCCATTTTGTCAACATCAACTTCAGACTGGAATTACTGTTTTAATGATTGGTTTGCACGAATGGAAAAGTGCATTAAGTTAAACGGAGAATACTTTGTAAAACAATAAATACAATTTAGCTATACCGTGCATGTGGTTTTTCTTATTCCCGATCATTTCAGTGTGCCCGTCTCCTAGTTTCCTCAGCGGTGGAGAGTTTCGGGGATATTATGTGACCCTGCCTTACGCATCTCTGCAGTTCGTAATCTGGTTCTGTACTTGGATAGCCATCGTAGCTCTACTGTAGAAACACTTAAGGCACTTCGATATACCGACAGTCAACTTGGCACCGCTGAAGGGACTGTAGCACCGCACAAATTTCGACGGAATCAAAGGATTTCTAGGTAGTCCAAATACGCAAGACAAAATGGCAGATTGTATTTTTCGAACTTCTGTACAATTTGTCGAAGAAAATGGTCTATGGCGCTAAGGTCTTTTCGGAAACCGGCTTATTCGGGTGGCTGGAAGTCGTCAAGCCTGCGTGCGAGACGATTCGTAATGACTCTCGAAAACAGCACCTAGACACTGCTCAGGAGGGAAATCGGTCTGTAGTTCTTCAAGAGAGCGTTGTCGCCTTTCTTAAAGAACAAGACCACCGCACTTCTGCTCCTCGCCTGCCACCATGGAAGACTGTTTAAGAGAACTTCTGAAGGACTTTAAGTACCGGTTTTACACCCGCTTTCAGAAGCTCCGCTGTAATTCCATCCTCGCCCGGGGACTTGCCGTTTATCAACGACAATTTCCGATATGTTTAATATATTGCCAAGTTTACGCACGTACGTACACAAATCACATCTACCACGGGGATTGCTCTGTGGAATTGTTCGGATTAATTCCAGCCGTAAAATTTCACATAGCGTCATTCATAGCGACAAAACTCAGGATACCATATACACCATCTGGATGCTTGGCGGTCGACCAGTGTGCGTTTTACTAGGAGTTTGCTTCCTCGTACGATTAACTACGTCAATATTTTTGGACTAGATGGAGCAAGGAATATATATAAGAGTTTGAACTACGGATGAAATGGCGTTCCTTTAAAGGCTCATTCAAGTTAGATTACCTGGTACTCCTGAAGGAGAAGAATTCAACACCATTAAAGTGTCGCAGTCCACCCAGGCCCGGACGGAGTGTTAAGGGTAAGACTTTCAACATCTGGGGCATGTTGAAGCGCCTGATAAATTATATTAGCAGTTTGTCAATGCGTGTTGTTTGACTTCATATGTCTTCGAAATATTTTTTTTTATGTTCTAAGACATGGAAGATTCCTCACGATGTTTTCATTCACCTTATAGAACGTCATAAATCAGTACTTTATGTGTTTGATATTTGGTGACCACATGCCCGCCACCGAATTTCAAACCCGCGGGTTAACGTGAACAAGCACTAATTGTCAAAAACTCATTCTGCGGGCAACTTAACATTAATCAATCAATCAATAATTATATTCTTTATTGTACAACAATACGCATTAAAACCAAACAATAATGATTTCTTATATTTACGCGAACACTTCACATTTTTAAATAAAACTAATTTTACGGATTTTATCGCGTATATTAACTTATTTTTATATTCCCAACGTTTCGGGTGCTTTCCAGCACCCGTGGTCACGGGGGACTGAGTTGTTTGACGTCCTACTGTCATAGTTAGCCCGGCTACCTTCAGTTTTTTAATATTAATTTTTGGTTCGATTTACGCAGAATGAGCTTACAGTATCTTGAAGTCTAGCAGTGGTATACTTGGGTTTGGATTTGATTTTATTAATTATGGGATCCCAAGCAGATGGCAGCACCCATCCATCTTCTCTATTGAAATTAGGATGTTTTTTAATTTCAATAGCCTCGCGAATCATCCTTGGGAGGAATCGGTGTTCTTTTGCGAGTATTTGTGGTCTATCAAATCTAATGTAATGACGGGGACGATCCTGAACATGTTCACAAACTGCAGACTTCCCGATACGTCGGTGCTTCACGTCAGCTATATGTTCTTTAACGCGGGTTTTAATAGATCTTTTTGTTTGTCCTATGTACGAGAGACCACATTCACAATCCAGCTTGTACACTCCTGCATCTTGTAGAGGGATATGACACTTGACGGATGGTAAAAATTGACCAATCTTCTTCAGCGGCTTGAAGTATGTTTTAATGGAAGCTCGCTTCAAGATGTAGCCAACCTTGTCTGTGACTCCTCTGACATAGGGTAGTACAGCAGGCACACGCTCGACTGTGGCTGGCTTCACTCGGTCACTGTGACGTAGGCGCGGGACCCGAAGCTTGTTGTCTTGCAGTACTTGCTCGACGTGCTGAAGCTCGGCGGCCAGATGTTTTCTGTCACAGATCCCTCGTGCTCTCTGAAACAAAGATTTTCCCACGGTAGCTAACTGTGAAGGATGATGGTGAGATTCACCATTTAAATATCGGTTGGTATGGGTATTTTTTCTGTACACAGTATGACCAATAGTGTTATCAGGATTTCGGATGACTAAAACATCTAGAAAAGCTAAAGTATTGTTTGCCTCTAACTCCATTGTGAATTGTATTTTAGGGTTTATGGAATTTAGGTGGTTTAAAAATGCAGTTACTTTGTCAGATGGTAAAATTGTGAAAGTATCGTCGTAATTTTTCAGAAAATTATTCAGCAAAGCAAATGCAAAAATCAGGTTGTGGTGTAAATTTAGGAGCAACAAATTTTTAAACTTAGTACTTAATTAGCACCTAAAAAGCCCCTAATTTGGACTTTTTCTTAAAGCAATTTTGATTCTATTTTGATTTTCAGGAAATCTGAATTTTGCATCTGCTATGTTCTGAATAACGACTTTATTTTTATTAGGTGCGCCTTGTTATTGCGTATACTTGCAGCACCTAATTAGCACTTAATTCCTTGCTATTAATATTTATCGTATATCTAATAACTTTATTGCGTTGCTAGCGATACGTTTTGCCAGCAACGCAAATTTCAACAGTTCGTAGCGGTGAAAATTTTAGAGCACCAAATTATTAAACTTGGTACTTAATTAGCACCTAAAAAGCCCCTAATTTGGACTTTTCCAAATGCAAATTCCCGACTTTGCGTTGCTAGCGATACACAACACATTTCTTCTAGACAACTTTTTTGCGCAAAGAACAGTTTACAACGAATTGCGTATAGGAAAGGTGTACATAAATATGAGAATTAAGTAAAAGAAAAAAAATATTAAAACACAAGATGATGACAGTTGAGGATAAGTAGGATAAATACAATTAGAACAGAAATTATGATGGGAAATATTAGAGCTCCAAGTAATAAGCTGTTTTTGAAGGAAAAAAGAGAGAATGGTTTATTGAAGAAGGAGGATGAATATGCTGGAATACGAAGCGAAATATTGTTAGTGGCACGTAGATGACCATTGTGAGAGAAGGAGAAGAGTTCAAAGCGGTCTTTCAGGTAACGAGGAGTGGAATGATTGAAGAGTATTCAGTAAAGCAGAAAGGATGTGAGTAATCCTGAGAAGGCAAAACGGCAGCCACTTGAAACGTTTACGAAATTCTGAAATGTGATCATATTTACGGAGTCCAAATATGAATTATAAGGATCAACATCTTAGCGCCATTCGAATTTCCCGGCCCTGCGCTGTGCGCAAACACATTTTGAAGAAGAGTTAACACACCAGCGCAGCGCAGTGAACTGTGTTGGCGCGGGCTCTGAGTATTACTCATGTGTAATTGTACGTTCAAGGCCTACTACTTAAGTAAAACGATATTATTCTGTTAAACGGGCTTTATTTGTTTCATATCTATAGCTCGAGTGATACGTGCGTATTAAAACAAATGTAAACAGTGATATTAAATTTTTGAAATGGAAAAAGTGGATATTATTGTTATTGGAGCTACGGGTTTCACGGGAAAACATGTTGTTAAACAATTAGCAGCCTTTAGTAAACATTCTACATATAAAACAATTACTTGGGGTGTGTCAGGAAGATCGACAGAAAAAGTGAAACTCTTACTAAAAGAAATTGCAGAAAACGGTGCATAAATTACCTACTAAATTATTCGTTATAAAAATTGTAACAAATCGTGGTCAAACGTACAAATAAAGTATAAATGTTTAAAGTTGTTTATGTGTTTTGATTTTTGTATTACGTTTTTAAGACAGTAAGAAATTAAAAATAAGTTTATTATTTCTTACTTTTCTTGAACATCAAGTTCCTAATAAGTTTAGAGTTTGTCATAAATATTATGTTGTAGTTGTTGTTAGTATGTGTAAATTTATTGCTTTATTTATTTTAGATGTAGACACATCGAAAATTCTTACAGTAATAAGCGATGTTAAAGACGAAAACACTCTGTCTAATGTTACAAGAAGAGCTAAAATTGTTGTAAATTGCACAGGCCCAAGTACTCTTCTAAGCGAGTATATTGTGAAGGCTTGTATACAAACTGGCACTCACTATGTTGATATTTCGGCAGAACTTTATGTAAGTTATGAATATTTTTTTACTAATATAGTTTTATTTGTATTCATTAATGGTATTAATGTACATACTCGTATATGTCAAATAGTATAAGAACGATTATTCGTTCTTATATTATTTTACATAATATAGGTAAGATTAGAAACTTTTTCATGATCATCATCGTCATTATCAATGCCGCTTGTCCCGAGTCGATGCTGAACACGAGCCTCTCCTAGACCTGACATTAAGCATGGTCAGCATCCATCGACGCGTCTCGTCTAAAGGATTTTATTGCAATGAACTTCGCTTGCACTTTGTGCGGGCACAGTTCGGTCGGCGCACAGACATCAAAGGTAGCCCATGTGTCTGCGTTAATTAGTTACTTATAGTTTATTCTTTAAGTGGTCATGTGAGGTGGGGACCAGCGCTGCCCTTAATAACAACCATTTTTGCCTTTTTAGTTCAAAATAGGGTTTCCTGCCGTCTGAACTACTAATATTGTCAACTAAGAATTCTTCGTCATAAGAGGAAAGTATATTTCAAATATTAGCATAACTCTATCAGTGTTAAATTTAAAATCAAAACACGTAGGCAACGCATAACGCTCATTGTGGTTAGTGAGGAATCACCAACCTAAGTTTTAATATTACGACTGTGTATCGTAATTGAAATTACCTACCTTTACTACATTATGACATTAATCTGATATGTTTTAGCATATTTTAAACGTGTATAGAGCATATCACAAATTAGCTGAAGAAGCGAACGTGCTAATAGTGCCAAGTTGCGGTTTTGCATCGATACCAACTTCAACTGGTATAATCCTAATGGATGAACATTATAAAGGTAAGATTTGTTACTTCAGTTATACTCGTAGTTCAAGTTGTTTCTAGTGTTTGGAATTGAAACAATTCATTTCAAATTTTCATAACATTAGTACATTACATAGGATGGTAGGGAAAATACATGCTAGTGAAAATAAATTCTGACCGAAAACTACAAATCGAAGAAGAATAATGTTTGTATTTGGTAGTAGTTACAAGTCTTCCATCGTGCTCTATGGGGGTTGCGAGTCGATTGCTATAGTGGTGTAAAAGATAAAAGGGTTGAAAAAGTTATCTTCAAAATTGTGGGACTATAATTAATCGAGAACATTCTGGATTGTTCTAAAAATTTTTATAATGATCTCGAAAGTTCTCTAATATATTTAAATATTCTGAAATAGGTTGAGCTGACTAATCAGTCTAGAACATTATAGCTTGTTCTAAAAATTTCTAGAATGATCTGAGAGTTCTCAAATATATTTCAATTTTTAAAATTACTTGAGATCATCATCATTACACCCCTTCACATGTCCACCGCCGAACATAGGCCTCCCCCAAGGAATGCCACAAAGCACAGTCCCGGGCCACCCGCATCCATTGTCTTCCTGCATGTCTTACCAGGTAGTCACTTCGCATGTCGATACGAGGCTGCCACTCGAGAACCTTTATTCCCCATCGGTTGTCGGTTCTTCGAGCTATATGGCCGGTCCATTGCCACTTCAGCATACTAATTAATTGGGGTATGTCGGTTACTCTGGTTCTACTGCGGATATCCTCGTTTTTAAGTATATCACGCAGAGGAACGCCGAGCATAGACCTCTCCATAGCTCACTGAGCGACTTTGAGCGTCCACATATAGCCAGCAGTGAAGGACCACGTCACAGTTCCATAGGTCATTACTGGCAACACGCACTTGTTGAACAATCTAGTTTTGAGGTATGTCTAACGAGAATATGTGTCGTAATCTCCCGAACGCTGGCCAGCCGAGTTGAATCCGTCGATTGACCTCTCGGTAGAAGTTGGACTTACCTAGTCGGACTGTTTGTCCCAGGTAAACGTATTCGTCAACAACTTCGAGCTTAGTGCTCCCAACAACTACCGGCATATGTGTGACATGGACATTAAACATGATCTTTGTTTTGTCCATGTTCATCTTAAGACCTATCAGATGGGACACACTATTGAGGTCATTGAGCATAGTGCTCATGTCCTCCAGCGATTCTGCCATAAGGACTATATCGTTGACAAATCAAAGGTGAGTGATGTTCGCGCCATTGATGTTAATACCGTATTCTTTCCAGTCCAGTAGTTTGAAAACGTTTTCCAATGTTTCGGGGATATTACGTCACCCTGTCTTACACTTCTCTGCAGCTGGATAGGTTTCGTACTCTGATTCCGTGCTCGGATAGCCATCGTAGCCCTACTGTACAAACACTTCAGCGTTTCGATATACCGACAGTCCACTTGGCATCGCTGGAGGGATTGCGGCACCGCCCAAATTTCGACGGAATCAAAGGCTTTCTCATAGTCCACATACGCAAGACAAAGTGGCAGATTGTACTCTTCGGTGTTCTGTACAATTTGCCGAAGGGTGTGCATGTGGTCTATGTTGCTAAAACTTTTTCGAAAACAGGCTTTTTCGAGAGGCTGGAAGTCGTCGAGTCTGCATGCGAGACGGTTCGTAATGACTCTCGAAAACTCAGAAGGGAAATCGGTCTGTGTTTCTTCAAGAGAGCATTGTCGTTTTTCTTGAAGAACAAGATAATCCGCACTTCTGCTCCACACTTCCGGAGTAGTGCCTCCATGAAGGACGGAATTAAAGAGCTTCTGAAGGACTTTAAGTACCGGTTTTCCAATCGCTTTCATAAGCTCCGCTATAATTCCATCCTCGCCCGGGGACTTGCCGTTTTAAAGATGCTGGGGAGCCATTCTAATCTCGCTCAAACTGACGTCCGGGATGTCATCGGAATAGTATCGGATAAGACTTGCTCTTGGGTCGTTACTCACAATTGCGTGTGGCTCCAACGATGACGTGTACAGCTGCCCATAGAACTCTCAATCTCACTCAAAATCTCAGGAGTCTCGGAAACGATGCTACCATATTCGGTCTTCAGCTTTGACAGTTGGCATTTTCTGGCAGATCTCTGGCAACGACTTTGGAGCCATGGTTCCGCTCGATCGCTTCTTGAATACGAGCAGTATTAAAGTTGCGTAACTCCCGCCGTATGCATTTGGGGATCTATCTGTTCAGTTGCCTGTATGCTATTAAATCTACTGAAGACTGCAGCTTCATTTCACGTCTAACAGCCATGAGATTAAGACTGTGATTGTAAGGTTTTTGTGTTCTTCTGTGGCGGGTCTTGCAAAACTTACCTCATACCTTATGGACAGTTTCCACGAGCTTGTCATTTATATCGTCCACTGCATTGCAATCTTCTAGGCACTGAAAACGATTTTGTAACTCGAGCTGAAAGGTTTCTGGACTTTGGATTAAAGCATGAGGGAGACGGAGCGTTGACTTCATTAGACGATACTTTTCTAACTTAACGTTTAGGTTCAGTGTGCCTCTAACCATTCGGTGATCGCTACCAGTTTTCACCCTCGCGATCACAACACTGACAATTGTTCAGTTACGTTTCACTGAACAGTTGTCGTCTGGTCGTCATTATGAAGTCACTCTTCCAATCCAATCATATCATTATGTCACTTCAGCGTACCCCACCTATATTTAGTGACCTCAAACTAACTAAAGAGCTAATTTTAACCCAAAATTCAGATACAGCATCCGAAAAAATTTATTCTGATGATCCAGAAAACGTTGAGTATATTGCCAAAAGGTATAAGAGAAGCACACAGCGATATGGTTAGGTGTGAAATTAAAGAACTGCTAAATGATTTAAAACAACAACAAACTGCGAAATTTGATAGCTTTGAATCCGATATGTCAACATTAAAAGAATTAAACTTGAAAACCCAAAAGTGAATTGATTTTATGGCTCAAAAATACGATGATTTGTTATTAAAAATTAATAAAGTGCAGCAGGATCAGAATATCAAGACAGAATTAAAATATTCGAAAATAAAATAGAACATTTAGAGCGAAATGCCAAAACCTCCTCCATCGAGCTTCGTAATATCCCAATAACTCAACCAGAAAACCAGTCTTCGTTGCGTAAAATTATAAAAGATATTAGTGAGGTTTTAAATGTGCCCCTACAAGATAATGAGATACGTGACATTTATCGTATTAAATCACAATTAAAATCGAACACTCCAAGTCCTATCGTAATCGATTTTACCACTACTCTAATGAAAAACAATTTTATTAGATCAGTCAGTGCATTTAACAAAGAGCAAAAGGATAAAAAACTCAATACTTCTCATCTTAATATTGGTGGACCACCGAAACCAATATATGTATTGTATGTAACGGAATTTTTTAATACGATTTTCATCCCCTTCAAAACGTCGGATTGATTTTAAACTTCGCACACTTATCTAGGACTGATAAAATTTAATTATCCTTGCAAATCATGAGGATCCTGCCTCAGAATTTGCGAATAATTCATAAAACAACTACGATTTCTGCCAGTTCAATCTAAAAAGTAGAAAATAAATTTTTAAATTATTATTTATTATATATAAAGAGAAGATAAAATTAAAAAAAGTTTAAAGATTGATGTATTTCTTAATGAGTTGGCTATCTAATCACCATAGCATAGACGGTAAGCGGATTGGTGAGCATTTATCCAAAATCCTGTCCAAGTTAATGTTACTGCCTATCCTAGCATATATTATGTACTATGGAATCTAGATTTAGCGTATTTTTGTTTAGGAATTGGTCTCTACCTCAACTTCACCGTTAATGAGCTGGGTACACCGCCAGCAAATAGGTTCGACATTTGAGAAGAAATCGCATACCTATTATTCTTAAATTTACACAAAAACTTAACAATGCTCCAAGTAAATGAATTGCTTGAATATCTTTAAATACTTTTTGTTTAATACTTTACAAGGTCAAATAAAGAAAAAATCCCACGATCATTCCGACGTTTGTGACGTGTGTTCATTCTACTTTATTTTTATGTATAAGTATTTTATGTTAGTAGTTTTGTAAAATATACATCGACAGCGAGCACAGTTATGATATATCTCTGTTATTTCAGGTTCACTGCACACTGTCGAATGCTATGTAGAGTTACATATACCGAGAGAATGTTACTTCGGAGGACGAAATAAAGCTCTAGTACATTATGGGACATGGGAGTCTTTCGTTCATGAATTGTCTAATATGAAAAAATATAAGAATTTGAAGAAATTAACGTTTCCGGAAACACAGAATGAGCCATTACCGAGAGAGTTAAAAAAGTATGATAATTTTTGAATGCAATGCTTTTTATGTTAGTACTTACTTAGACCTTTTTAGGCTTCCGTATTTAAACAACAAGAAACCCTAAGGGTACGCGTACACCTAATCCGTCATCGGCCGACCTCGGACCTAGGACGAACGAATCAAATACTTGTAAAAGAAAGAGACTGCGTACACAAACACGACCATCATCGTCCGATAACGCACGAAAACGGCCCATCAACCGTTGAATCCGAACTTGTTGGGATTTCTCGCCAGATTGCCGGCGTCTACAGTGCAAATTGAGTATATTTATAGTTTAATTTAAACATTCTATCTTAACGCTGTTGTTTTTGTCAGTGTTTTTATCTACCTAAACGACTATGGATGTTGAAAAATTAATTAGTTGTGTTTATAATAGACAATATAATAGACAATTACAATAATCGAGAGGTTTCGAAACGGTTATAGGCTGAAGTTGGATCGGAAATGGATGTAGCGGTCCCAAACATTAAAAAATGCGTCTTCACTCTGTTAAGCAACACAGTCAATTACAGAATACCGGTTACCGGCAACGTCCAATGTCGGCACAAGTGGTACACTGTTGTGGTGTAAGCACATACACGTCCGAGTTACTCGACCGGGTAGTTCTATCCGCCATCGGCCGACAAAATCGGTTTTGGTGTCCGCCATGTCCGTCCGTCCGTCCGGCCGTCCGCGGTTTTACTCAGAGACCCTAGGTGCTACAAATCTGTAATTTAGCATAGTTATGGATATTAATCACGTCTACAAAACTGTAAAATAAAATCTTAAAAAATATTTTTATTTTGGGTACCTCCCATACAGGTAAAGGGAGGATTTTTTTTTACCCTTCTCTTTCATCGTGTGGGGTATCGTTGCATAGGCGTTTCAAAAATGTGGGGGGTGCAGCACAACATTTCTTCGGTTCAGGGATTCGTTTGTGAAGTATTTAGCTTTAAAGTGGTATTTTTTATTTGGTTCATGTGTCCCCCCACCCCTCTATCAACTAAACTGCTGTTTTTGGAAAGAAGAAATATATACACGATAGAAGTATATATAACGAAGTTAAAAGGAAAACTATCACATCAAAGTAGAATTAACAAGTTAACGAGTAATAGTTGACCAACTTATAAAATGTTGTCTTAGTAAAAATCTGTTGAATTAGTAAAAATCTCGTTACAATTCCATAGAAGATTACTTAAAACTAGCTGCATTATAACTTTGTAATGATATCGTAAACTGTAAGAAATAAACATTTCATAAAGAAAACGACTTATATGCATTACTACTATAGCTTTACTTTTTCGGGATAGGATACTTTCGCTTATTGAAGTGAAAACTTCTTTAGGCACGTTGCGCACTTTTGGAATGGGGAATAAGCGCTGCACTCGCGTGGCCGTCACGATCACATACATACATATATGCAGATGTGTGTGTAGATGTGTATATTTTTGGTAGTTATTGTAGGCCTCATTCAAAGTATTTATTTAAACATATAGCCATAATCATACAGTTTCATTCATGGTACTCTTGGTTTACGCAGGCGACTCTCAGGATAGTTTAGGGCAGTGGTAGTTTACGGTAGTGGAGGTTCGCTACGGTCATATATATCTTAGGGTTGCTTAGCTTCCAGAATATATAGATAGGTAGTCACCGTGACTGATTTGATGTAGAGTGTATTATTTTCAAAGTCGAAAAGTTTTTTTAAATCTTTATTGAATACCACTCCTTATGTCTGATTGTGAAATAAGTCCTTCACTTACCATCGTCCTACGAGGGCCCATTTTTAGTCGTTATAGCGGTCAAACCGCGAACTCACTTCTAAGTTCACGTATTGTAACGGGTAACTATGGAACCCTATCTCTATATTATGCGTGGCCAGACATGCACTTGGCCGATTTTTTTTTAATTTTATTGTTTTATTGTCATATTTTTTTTAAAAGCGATACTTCATCAAAATCGTTGAACAGTCGTCCACAATCCAGTGTACAACTGCGGGATTGACTCTTGTAGCCAAAATTCTTGGTAGCCATTTTTGAATTTGATTTTTATTTGATCGTTTCTTGTTAGTTCTATAAGTTCTTCTTCGAGTTGGGGTGATACCGCTGACATTTGAAAAATGATCTAACACCCAGTCTGGTATTTCCAATTTCAAAATGTCCTGGAATCTTTCAATGAAATCACTGTAGAGATTTTCCAAATGTTGACAGTAGATAAGCAAGTCGTGGTTGTTGCAGAATACTGATGAATTGGGAAAATTATGGAACTCACGTTTGCCGATATTCTTCTTGAGTAAGAGCAGCGACGACATTTTTTGTTTTTATTAAGTTTCAGTCATCGCCTTGAAATTGGAGATTCATAACATTAAGCAATTTATAAACGTCTATCAGGTATGCGATATCATTCATTGATGTGATGAGGTTGTCGCGCAATTCTGTGTCTATGTTTTCCAAGAACTCTACGACTGAGTCAAACAGATTGTAAAATCGAGTCAGACAATTTCCTTTTGATAACCAACGAACTTCTGTGTGAAAGGTCAATCGGTTGAAATCTTCATCATTAGTAACACAAAGTTGATTAAATAATCTGTCATTTAGAGTTCTTTCGGATATTATTGACTGCTCTGATAACATGTTGTAATGATTGAAATAGTCGTTCACTTAAATTTCTAGCAACCAAATGTTGTCGATGTATAACGCAATGTACAGCAAGCACATCTGGAATTTTGTTTTTTAAGTACGCTATGAAGCCTTTTTGACACCCCATCATAGCTGGAGCACCATCTGTAGCAGCTGATATAGTATTCTTCAAGGGAATTCCTTTGACATCACAAAACTTTTCCAGTGTTTTAAATATGGTTTCTCTTTTTGTGTCTGTCTCTAAATTTCTAGCAAATAATAGTTCTTGACATATTTTTTCATGTTTAATAAACCTCATGTAAGACAGCAATAATGCTTCATTAGTTGGTAAAGTGAACTCATCCAACTGAATTGAAAATTGACTAGTGTTCAGATAATTGCACAATGACTCTTCAATGTTTTCAGCCATTTCATCAATTCGTCTTTGCGCAGAACTATTGCTCAAAGGAATTTTACGAAATATGTCTGCCGCCGGTTTATGGAGTACAGTAGTTATAACTTCTTTTATTCCCTGCATAATTAACGTTTCTCCGACGGTATGTGGTTTACCTGTTTGAGCAATTAACAAAGAGATATTGTATGAAGCTCGAAGTTCGTCATCGTCTTACTTAGCAGCCACCGAAAAAAGTTGTGATACACTTGGCTGAGCATTATTCTTCTTTTCCAGGTCTTGAAAATAGGCTACATTTTTGTCCTTCTTATCTGGATGCATTTTATTCAAATGATCTTGAACTCTTGAAGGCTTTATCGCTTCGTTTGAAAATGTTTTTGAACAAAGAAGGCACAAAGGCATAGATGGATTTGTCGAATTTTCTATGAATCAATATTTAGTATATTCTGCACTATATTGCTGTCTCTTCTTTTTTGCTTCCTTCCTTTTTTACAAATATATAAATAAAGTGTTGAACTTGAATACTTGTTTAAAGATTGCTCGCGAAACCACTAATGAAAATATAAAAATTATTACGAGCTTTTATATAGGATTTAAATACAGCACGCACCGACAGGAATAAGACAAACACGCAGAAATTCGTTTACCTCTTTCAACGCTCAATCGTACTGAGCAAGTTAAGACAAGTATCGATGATTGCACCAATAGCGTTATTTAACAAAAACTTGTTACAATTTGATCGCGTACAATGTACGGGCTAACCTACAAAATCTATGTTAAGTATTTCTAGTTTATATACTATCATGCAGGGCAGAAATATAAACTAATTATTCGATATTGAGTAGTACGTAGATTTTAATTTTAGTCAATTTTAAATTGAATAAATGAAATTAAAAATTAACCATCGCCTCCCTAAACCACGCTAACACCCCCCATTTTTTCTGGGCCTCTTAACACCCCCTCTAGGTCTCCAACGACCACAAGGGGGCGTTATCGCCCACTTTGAGAAAGACTACTCTATGCTTAATTAAAAAAAAATCTCATCGAACAAAAACGAAATGTTTTGAAACAAAATTCATTGTAGGAATAAGGGGTAAAAACTGTTTTCGATAAGTAAGTACGTAAAGAAGCGGCGTTACTTAATGAATATTCATTTAGGATTAATACAATCCGATTTTTATGAGTGGCGTAATAATTAAATATATTATACTTATTACGACAATTACATATCATATGAACATCTAATTTTCCTTCATAGTAAATATATTTACTCTATAATCGTAGAAATATTAACCCACGGCGCGGACTGCGTGTTAACAAAAACAATTTTCTGTTGATTTTCCTGAGGTAAAAAGTCCCATCGCATGTGTTATTCTCGCACATTTTCTATTTGTGCGTATATACGAGTATTTCATCTAAATCCGTTTGATGCGTGACTAAGTTACAAACACCTAAATATCTCTACAAATTTTTACTTTTAGAATTTGACAATTTACATTTTAAATGGAACTTGAAGTTAATAATTATTATTATTTCAGGTCATTTTTCCATAAACACGAAGGTAAATGGTGGTTTACCTATCCAGGACCTGACACGGAAGTAGATTTCATGTCACAGATGTATTTTAAAGAGAAAATGGGAAAGAAACCCGTACATTTCAAGGCCTATACTACAATGCCTCTGATCGTCCATTTTTTCATTATTATTCCTCTAGTATTTATTGCTTATTACGCTTGTCGATTGAAGTGTTTTAGACACTTGATGTGGAAATATCCTGGTTTCTTTTCATTTGGCTTAATGTCACATAAGGGTCCGTCGGAGAAATTAAGAAACGATCTGAAGTATACATTCACACTGACAGGGAAAGGAAGCGACTCAACTGACAAACCTTATACAGTAAAGGTAGGTATTGTATAAAAGTTGCTTACTTTAAGTAATTACGTTATTAGTTATGATTAATAAATAAATATATTATTATTATTTAGGATATATACCTACGTGGTATTTTTATTTGGTTGAGATACCAGGCTTTGTGCTGGTGCGGCATGACCGAGTTTTAAGGCGTGGAGGTGGAGTCGCTATTTACCTACGTAGTGATATAACCTTCAAAGTAATATCCACTTTTGATCAACAGGCTAATGACATGGAGTATCTGTTTCTTGAAATTAATTTAAAGGGGGTCAAAGCTATTCTTGGAGTCGTTTACTCTCCTCCCTCTATTAATTATTTCTCCACTTTGGAATCTATCCTAGATAACATCTGCTCTGAGTACACACATCAAGTCATCATGGGTGATTTCAACACAGATCTTTTAAAAAACTCCTCTAATTCTCAAAAGTTACGATCCATAATAAACTCGGTCAACCTCTCCATTCTTCCCCTTAAAGCTACTCACTCTAATTTTTCAACTGCGGATTCATGGATCGATTTAATTATTACATCTTCTAATAAAGTTGCGAGTTATGGTCAGTTCCCAGCTCCTGGTTTTTCGAACCACGACTTAATATTTCTCTCATATAAATTGAAACCACCTAAACATATCCCTCACACAATAAAGTTACGCAGCTATGCTCGATTAAATAGAGATAGCTTAATTAATGAAGTGTCTGCCATTGATTGGTCTTCAGTGTTAAATACCGATTCAATTAATGATATGGTTATGGAGTTTAATTCTAAATTATTGAATATTTACAATACACATGCGCCAGAACGCGAGGTTAAAATTAAACGTCCATCAGTTCCGTGGATCACTAGCAACGTACGCCTGGCAATGAACAGGCGCAACAGAGCTTTTGTCACTTATAAATCTTGCCGTACTGTACAGAACTGGGAGGCTTTCAAAAAGGCTAGGAATCGCTGCAATCAGGTCGTGAGGTCCGCTAAACGCCGATATTTTCATGATTTCCTAAATAATTCATCGCAATCGGAGACATGGAAGTTTATTCACTCTCATGGTCTCAGTAAAACTAAAAAACAAGTAATCTCAGATATTTTCCCATTAAACGATCTCAATGTGCACTTTTCTTCATCAGCTTGTCTCCCATCTCACGTTAAATTGAAAACTATTTCGGATATTACTTCCATGTCATCCCCGCATAAAGATTCGTTCTCTTTTTCTACAGTCACTGAGAAGGATATTTTAAAAGTATTACAGAAACTTAAGTCAAAGGCAGTAGGCCATGACAACATAGGAAGAACCATGATATCGTATGTTTCAGAACATATTGTACCAATTTTAGCCTCCATTATAAACCGCTCATTGCTTACTGGGAATTTTCCGTCATGCTGGCAGAAGGCCTTTGTTCTCCCTCTTCCAAAAATCTCTATGCCCAGTGCTCTCAACCACTTCCGGCCTATCTCGATTTTGCCGTTTTTGTCAAAAGTTTTAGAAGCTGTAGCCCTCAAACAGATACAAACTTACTTAACTAAAAGCAACTTATTAAATCAACACCAATCAGGATTTCGACCCGGACATAGCACCACAACGGCGCTTTTAAAAATAACAGAGGATGTGCGTGATGGCATGGAATTTGGAAGGTTGACGGTGTTAGTTTTAATAGATTTTTCTAACGCCTTTAATACCGTTGACCATGATATTCTCATCGCCATCTTGTCTTACATAGGTTTTTCCTTATCAGCACGGAATTGGGTTTCCTCCTATCTTCGTGGTCGCCAGCAGGCGGTCCGTGTGGACGGTATGGTATCCGATTGGTGTGAATTAACCACTGGTGTTCCTCAAGGTGGAATTCTATCTCCATTACTTTTCTCTATATTTATTAACATGATTACTTGCAACTTTCGTGCTTCTTACCATATGTATGCCGATGACTTGCAACTGTATGCTCATGCCGATGCTACTACCATGAATAATGCTATAACTGTGATTAACTCCGATCTTAACTGGATTCTGAATTGGTCAAGAAGATACGGGGTCACTGTTAATCCAAGCAAATGCCAAGCTATAGCCTTAGGCAGCGCACGTCACTTAGGTAAACTTAATCATACATCATTAGATCCACTGATTTATAATGGCGTGGTAATTCCGTACAGCTCACATGTTAGGGACTTGGGATTAAGCTTGGATTGTTCTCTTACTTGGCGCAGTCATGTTGAGGAAGTTAGCCGTAAAGTTTGTACTACTTTGAGACAATTGTATAGATTTAAAAATATCTTACCGCCTTGTACGAAAAAACTTCTAATTGAATCGCTTATTCTTCCTATGTTTGATTATGCCGATGTGTGTTACTTAGATGCAGACAAATACTTGGTCAATAAATTGGATCGACTTCTCAACAACTGTATCCGTTTCATTTACGGTCTTCGAAAGTATGACCATGTCTCTTTCTATCGCTCTCAACTTAAATGGTTAAATATTCCACAACGCAGGAACCTTAGAATTCTTAGCACTCTTTTCACTATTCTTAACGATCCATTGGCCCCGGAGTATTTGAAATGTAAGTTTCAATACCTGGGTTCTTCCCATGATTGCAATCTTCGCTCTCGTAACAATCTCGTACTCCAAATTCCCTCTCACCGTACTGGTTTCCTCTCAAACTCTTTCGCTGTTACAGCTGTACGACTCTGGAATACGCTTCCCTTAGCAATAAGAAAATCACCTAACAAGTGGATTTTTAAAACAAATGTGAAAGAACATTACTTGGGTTCATCTGACACACAAATAAATAATAACCTATAACATATAATCTATATATTATATCCTTATATATATTTTAAGTTTGATCTACGCGTGTGTGTGTGTGTGTGTGTGTGTGTGTGTGTGTGTGTGTGTGTGTGTGTGTGTGTGTGTGTGTGTGTGTGTGTGTGTGCGTGTATGTGTATGTGTTTGTGTAAAATTTATATCAATTTTAGGTTTTCATCCTAGCCCACTGCAGTACACACATCTCCCACTAACTTTCCGGTTGACTGGTAGAAAATGCCATATGGCATTAAGTCCGCCGTTTGTACCTTTAGTACAATAAAGTGTATAAATAAAAAATAAATAAATAAATATATAAATATACGAGATTATATAAAAAGTAAAAAATGAAATTACAGTACAGTACAAGTAAATAAAACAAATACTGAACATAATACCTCATATATACAAATTTTATACCGTATAGGTAGGTTTTGATTCAAATAAATTATTTAGGCTTCATATGCGAATACCGTCGGAAGTTAACACTTTTTAACCATATACAGTTTGAAAAATTGAAGTTTAGTTAGCAATAATACTTCAACTTCAATGTTTACAAGGAAGATTATAAATATTCTTTAATTATATCCAATCTTCTGGTTGTCGGACGAGGTCTAACTAACAGATTATGGAATATCGTATCAAAACGCAGAAACCAACATACACAGACAGGAGATGGCAGCAGTATTACCATTATGACGGAAAATGCTCTGCGTTCACTATCTGAGTATTGATAAATTTTCCAAGTGCATGCCAACTTGCGTCTTCTAGAAAGTCCACAACTGAGGGAATTAAAAAGTTTTTTCGTATGAAGTGATATGGCCAACTGCGCACTATACTCGTATAACAGTAGGGATCGGTAGCGGCTAAACGTTTGGCAGTGGCGTTGCGTTGCCGCAAATTAGAATCTCGCACGTATGACATACATACATATTTTTGTTCCGGGTTTGGATATCTATTTAAGGACAATACAATTTATGTGTGTAAGACGTGTCCAGAATACAAGAGAAAATCCTGCATATAGATACTACGTCAGACAAAATAATAATCCTTGCAGGCCTGAAGATGCATACACTCACTCTTAGAATCAGAACTTGGGAATTTCATCAGAGCTATTGTAGTAATTTTAGCTGGTAGAGTCGTCAAAACGCTGCTGTGTTTTGTATGGTGAGTGATGAGAACTGGAGACCCTTTCTATTAGTAACGAGGTATTCTATTTTAGTCCTCGGTAAACGCATCTGCATTTTGATTCTTCATTGATGTTAGATGGATTGATATGTCTATGGACCACAGCATCCATGGACTGTATGCTCGTTAGTCACCCTGACTTCTATACAAAAATTAACCTGTACTTAGATGTTTTCATATGAGTATATTCTGTGAAAATCATAAACAAGAATAAGAGTGACAAACGAGCACACAGCCTACCTGATGGTAAGTGGACGCTGTGGCTCATAGACATCTACATCTATCCTAGATTACGAATCAAAATGCAGATGCGTTGTCACCCGTGAGGACTAAGATGGAATGCCCCGTTTCCAGTGAAAAGGGTATCCGGCTCTTTACACTCACCATACAAAATGCAGCAGCATTAACTGCTATTTTACGTTTACAGATAACAGGTTCAGATCCTGCATACCATAGCACCGCTGCAGCTGTCTTATTTTCTGCCGTGACTATATTATTAGAGAGAGAGAAAATGCCTAAGTGAGTAATAAGAGTCAGTAAATTATTATTTTAAATAGAGTAAAAGTAAAAATCAAATGTAAAGTATGGCTAATTAAGTTTCCACTCTTGCCATGTTTGCGGAATTCGCCTGTAAGGGTATTCACTACCCAATATAAACCTTTGATTGTCGTAAGAGGCAACAAAGGGAAATGGCAAAATAAACAGCAGGACCTTTCTAATAATAACTTAAAATAATCAAAATGTGCGGTTGGCAACCCGCTTTCTAAGCGTGACAACTATGGCAAATATCCCCCTATGAGGGAGGCCATGGTTCAGCAATTTTTGATAAGCTGTAGTGAATTAATTATAGATAAGAATAATTCCAAAAACAATTTTATTACCTTCCTAATATTAACTATTCTCTGTCTATGTGTATAGTCTGTCTATGTGTCTATCTATCAGTCTTTTCTCTTCAGAATATTCCATGTAGATTGAAATTTGGTAAAGTTATAAAATGCGATAATCCAAATGGAAATATAGGGTTAAAATTAGATTGTAAGTCGCTGAAAACTAGAGAAATCAGTAGTTAAAACAGCATTGCAACCACAAAGGGTGTCTTGTGAATCCAACTGACTGGTGTAGTAAGTAAAGGAAAATCTATTAAGAAGTGCATGCCATCATTCACATTTTATAGAAGCTTATGTCTAAAGTTGATGCTGATGATGATGAAATAAATTAAATGCTTACAAAATATTAATAAATATCTCTAAATTAGTTTGTTTGACTTATTATGTTAGTGTTCCTTACTAGTTGCAATTGTCGTTGTTACCTGGGTATAAATTATCATTGTCTGTTCACACCTATCGCCATGACACTCTCTTCAAATCGGTAGGGGACCAAGAGCTATCTTACAACACAGCTGCTAATTCCTTAATTTTAATTACCTGATCCTATAACGCACAGATAAAACAGTCGATTTCCCGAGACTCGAGGTCAACGAATTCTTATCTTTAAAACTTTTTGGGGTGATATCATACGGCAAATAAGTATCCTAAGAAAGCATAATAAGGATGATGATTCAAAATGTAATCATATATTTAATTTTTCAGAGGAGGAGTTCTGATGCCTGCAAATGTCTTTTATAATACTAATATAGTAGAAAGATTAAAATGTAATGGAATAAATTACGAAATTGTAGATGTAGATAGTCAACCTGATAATGTAAGTAAATGAAATCGTCCTAAATACTTTGTAGATATTGGTTGTTAAATAAATATGTATTACAAAAGTTTTTGTAGATTTTTTTGTATACCACCGGTGCACCAATCCACACCTTATTATAATGTTCATAAATAGCACTGACATTAATAAAGAAGGTTAATTTCGTCACAATTGTTTTTTTTTTGATTGTGTATACTGTTGGCCCTGCGGCCTTGACAGCTTCATCTGATTAGGTTCGTAAGTGAGTACTTACGAACTATTGAGTGCAACGATTTGCCGACTGCAGTCCCGAGGTACCCCGACCCCTGCTTTCGGAGTGAGGCTCCTCGAGCTAGGGCGGGGGGGGGGGGGGCGGCTCGATGCGATTCAAGGGCCCCTCAGAAGGAGGTACGAACCTCGGCTTGAATCGCTATCGCAATTTTGTTAACGAGTCGCAAAGGTTAGTCACAATTGTTGTTGAAATAATTGGTTTAGTTTCGTTGGCCTACCAGAACTTGGTCAAGGTGCCTTTAAATTTATTACATAAAATATAATTTGCATAACTACATAAAATGGCAAAATTATAAAGATTACGCCAAACGTTGATTTCCCTTCGCTGATAATGATCTGGTTTTAAAACAAATTTATGTTAATCGATTGAAACATCATAAACATTTTAGTTTTTTTGTTTTTGTTTTATAAAAGGTGCTATATATAGAATATATTGCTAATAATGAAATATTGAAAGTCATGCTGTGAATTTTAAGGGTTCCGTAGTTAAATAACAAGAAACCCTTATAGTTTCGCTGTGTCCGTCTGTCCGTCCGTTCGTTTACGGTATTACTCAGAGACCCTAAGTGCAACAAATCTGTAATTTGGCATAGTAACAGATATTAATTACGCCTACAATTCATGAAAAACATTTTTATTCTGGTTACCTCCCATACAGGTGATTTGTTTAAACCGCCTATTCCGTCTTGTGTAGTCTAGTCCACACGACTACTCACGATAAATTATAAATCCAAACCCAAGCATACGTATATAAGGTTCCGTACGTTTTTATGGCCTTACTTTTTAACGGCGTCGTCAAAGTTTAGGTCAAAATTGATATCAGTTTTTTTTAAAGAAAATCATTGTTTTATCGATGAAGGCACAGATTCTGGCTATACAGATCCCGTGACCCTGGTTGACGCCGAGAACGTGCGACATAACTCGCCTGTTTACCTCTGATCATGTAATCTCTTACGCAGTCACCACACGCCAAATAGAATCTAAGTATCACATCTGCTCTTCTGAAAAAAATAAATACCTCACAAGGAATTTTTATAAACATAGAACAACTATTTAAATACTAGCGACCACCCACGATTTCGATCGCGTTATTGGAAATTATGGCATTTTTGTTTATAGTTGCTCCCTAAGGAACTATACCTTTTAGAATAGGTGTACGGTACCGTGTGTGTTATTACCACAAACTAATTTGAAGTACGCTGTTTCAGGACACAGTCTGCTCGTTTTCCCAAGGACTTATTATTATATAACTGCGTATGAACCGTGAGTCATTAAAATTGCCAATCCCGTGAGAATTTCGAAAATTCCTGAAAACAGTTATTATTGGTTATAATTAAAAACTTAAGCTTGTAAGTAGGCTTAAAAGCTAAAGTTTTATCTTAAATACGGATAATAGTTACGGAAATATAGCAACTTTAAAGCAAAACCATAAATCCTCTTAATTCCCGATCAAGTGAAAATTTCCAATAATCCATATTCCTTGTCTACATTATCCCTTTATAATACTAATAACCTCTGCGCAAAATTTCAGCTTTCTAGTTTCAAGATTTCGGACTGGACGTTGATGAGTCTGTGAGTGATTACAGTAACCACAAATCGGGACTTGTTTTATATATGTGTTACAGTCAAAACTCATAACCGGCCAAAACTGCTTTGGACTGCAAAAATCAGGCAAAAGTAGTTTTGACTAAGGAATTTGGATAAAACAACTTTTAACTACAAAAAAATTGGATAAGGGCTTTGAACAGAATAAATAACCAACCAACCACCTTTCTTTCTTTTTCTTTTCTTTTTAAAAAAAAAAAAACGTTACCCCCACCACACTAGGATTTTCTCCTGTATCGTGGAGGCAGTTTACAAACACAAATTTCACAAGGACAAACATCCAGACCCGGAACAATCATTTATAGGCCATACAAATACTTGTTCCGTGCGGGATTCGAACCCGCGCCCCCCAGCGCAGCAACTCATTGCTAAGCCACTGCGCCACGGAGCCGTCATAAACCCTCGTTACATATTATTTGTAACCGACAAATATTAGGTCCTTACATATGAAATTAGCGTTTTGTCGTACTGACCACTTTGATCTTCGTCTTTGGTTAAGAATTCCAAATTCAAATTTATAAAATAATTGACAAATAAATATTGAAAATATATTTCATAGTAATATTTTTACAATATTAAAAACTATAACAATAATTTAAAAAAAAACTAAAACTATAAACTTAATTATCATATAGTCCTACACCCCGCAGTATCGTGCCAAGAACGCTGGCTGCGTTTCCCCGCTGAATGGCTATACTTAGCCTTTGAGCGAGAAAAGAACCAGCCCTCTTATCACCAGCAGCAACGACCAGCCGCGGATGGAGTTCCTTTAGGAACTTCACCGCACGTGGACCCCACGGACCGATAGTCTCTACAGCAAATGGCACAAATATGTAGTCATCTCTCAGAGACTCATATTTGCGCCACTTACTCAGTTCAGCTACCTCTGATGCCGCCCCGGCTCGAAACGAGGTACCCCTGAGATGAGAGGCCGTCAGAGTGTCTACGCAAGTAGCATCCCACACTAGGGCTTTACCTCTCTCCTAAGGGACCAATGTCATACCGTCGGGTCTCCTGCCATCGTCTCTAAATATTCCACAAGGCTCTAAAACCGAGAGAACATTTATAGAGACAAGAGCCCTTCGGATGACATCGTTCAAAGAACTGTGTCGTGAAAACCTACCAGCGCTTTTCTAAGATGAAAGTCCGTGGAGCCCAAACTTGTCGACGCTGCTACCACAGGGTCACTGATGGGGTTGACAAATCGCCGCTCCCAGTCGGATTCCTACGGCGATGCGCAAGCTTTCCCCATCAAGTAATGTGCCGAGATTACTTGATGGTAAAGCGTGTAACCAGTGACTAGATTTCTTAGTCGATACAACTAGAAGGCGTGCCTTATTTTGGTCACTATGGAAATTATGAAATAAATCTTCCTGCACGCCCTGTACCAACGGAATATCCCACTGTTTTTGTTGGTTAACTTCCAGTGGTTAACTAAGCTGGTACATTTGAGTTTTTAAAACGGTCATTCATTTGTTTTTTCTTCATTATTTTTTCTTTGGCTTCGCTTATTACCGCACAATGGAAAACATGAAATATTGGTACTAGTATATTTACGAGTACGAGTTCTACCGTGGCACCAGTGCTGCAGAAACAGCTCGAAGGATTAATGATGTGTACGGTGCTGGTGTCGCAAAAGAAAGCATAGTACGTTTTTGGTTTCAACGTTTTCGTTCTGGAAATTCGACCTTCAGAACCAACCCCGTGGACGGCTGGAGACCAAACTGAAAAATGAAGAATTAAAGGCTATTGTGGAAGCGGATCCATTATAAAGCACTTCAGAGATAGCTGCAGGCTTTGGGGTAAGTGATAAAACTATATTCATCCACTTGAAGCAAATTGGGAAAGTAAAAAAACTTGAACGATGGGTACCTCATAAATTGAGTGAATTGAACTTGCAAACACGCGTCGACTGCTGTGTTACTTTGCTCAACCATTTTTAAATTGAAACATTACTTGTGATGAAAAGTTAATACTGTAAGATAATCGGAAGCGCTTGTCGCAATGGCTGAACCCTGGAGACCCAGCCAAATCCTACCCTAAACGAAAATTGACTCAGATAAAGTTACTTGTGAGTGTTTGGTGAACTAGCGCCGGTGTCGTTCACTACAGCTTTCTAAAATCTAGCCAAACGATTACGGCAGATATTTATTGTTAGCAACTGCAAAACATGAAGGAAGAACTAGCTGTTAAACAACCACGATTGGCCAATCGCTCTAGGCCACTGCTGCTTCAAGACAACGCAAGACCACACACTGCACAACAAAGAACCACTAAGATAGATGAGCTACAATTGGAATGTCTGCGACTTCCACCATACTCCCCGTACCTTGCTCCAACAGATTACCATTTTTTCCGGAATTTGGACAACTTCTTACAAGGAAAAAAAATTCAACTCCGATGCGGCAGTCCAAACCGCCTTCAAAGAGTTTATTGATTCTCGCCCCCCAAGTTTTGACAAAAGTGCATTTATTTATAGGATAGGGTGACAAACGACCACACAGTCCACCTGATGGTAAGTGGTTACTGTGACCCATAGACATCTACACTTATCCTCAATAAAGAGTCAAAATGCAGATGCGTCGTCACCTAAGATGGAATGCCTCGTTTCCAGTAAAATGGGTCTCCGGTTCTCTACACTCACCATACGAAACACAGCAGTATCAAACTGCCATTTTACGCTGGTATTCTGTGAGAGCGTTGTAGTGTTTGCTTATATGTAGTATACAGTAAATATTGTTATTTGTTTTATTTACTAATAATTTACCATGCACAAATACACAAACATACATTTATATATAAGTCACTGTCTCGAGCGCACCGCGTCAGTTACACGAGAGCCTCGGGCGAGAGTGGACGTGTTGTTTAGTTAAAGTGCGTGCCGAGCCTGTGTTACACTACAGTGGTTAGAGAAGATAGCAGACATTACAAGTGGCGACGAGGAAAAAGATAAGTACCTATTTAGTATAAAGATATAATCAAAAATAGGTTAGCAATGTGCAACTATTAGCATTGCAATTGTAAATTAATTCCTAGAGTACCCGCGGAAAAAAAACTGTGGATTATGAATTATGATTTATTGTTTTTAACCCTGTTCTGACCATTTTAATAATTTATATAAAATATATGTTCGCATTTGACCACGCTTATGGTGTGCTAAAATTTATTTTCTTTATGTAGCAATGATA